TCGTGGTCGTCTTTAAGTGAGAACTTAAATCTTCTAGGAGTAGATCCGTGCATCTGGCAGTGATGGCAGAAATCTTATTATACTGTAGCATGGATAGTTCAATGTCGCTGTAGCCGGCTTTGGTCAGAAGATTGTATAGCCTATCAGTTGCTGGGTATCTAAATCTACGGTATAGGCGACATAGATCTACTTCAGTTAGAAAAAGGCTGGCGTTCTTCGTGCGTCGTAGATGGAACCAAGCGTGGCCTATTTTCGTACTACGGGGATTAACTTTTCACCTTGGACAAGTTAATTGGTAACGTTTTTGAAGCTGATGTTGAGCTTGTCCATATCATTTGGGCATAGTAGAAACGATGTTGGAGTATCCAGTAAGTGAAAACTAATACTGCCAATTGTCGTAGACACTTGTACTATACCAATGGATGAGACAGCTTTACCTGGGCCGAATTGAATATTTGCCTAGCCTGCGTTTGCCAAATTAAGCTATATAGACGGATCTTCGCATTGCAATGCATAGTACTGAGCATTTCCTCCAGTTGACATTTTTGATGCACCAGAATCAGGCATTACACCTTGCCAGACTTGCGTTGTATATCTTTCGTCAATGGTGAATAAATGTACAAGCACTGCATCTACTCGCCCTTTGTAAATATCTTCCCCAGTTAAACGATGTATGAATGCCGCGTTAGTGAGATAAGTGCTCACGCTTTGTATTACATCCTGTGGGCCGTGCGCTTCATCATCTTCATCCTCACCAAAAAAACCGATAAGCTCATTTCCTTCATAATCCGCAAGGTATTGGGCGTATTGGGAGTCATCTTTTGTGCCTGTATCGCTCATGTACTGTTGCTTAGCTCGTTTGCGCTCATCAATTGAGTGGTTTGACAACTAACAACCTTCTTTGTTGCAGACAAAGCACCTCTTAGGATTAAAGCGTCCGTTATAATGCCCTTGATACTGGCCTCTAGATAAAACTCTTACTCTAAAGTTGCCTCTGGTACGGTAAATGCCTCAAGACCCCCCTTGACCTCTGCCATTATCATTGAAACATCGGTCAACATAGTATGCATCGTCAGGCTCATTCAAATTCATGACCAAAGCGTTTATTGATTGCAGAATATTGACTTATACTGACGACCTTAACTGATCAAAGAGCTTCTCGCAGTTCTTCTGGGGTGACATTAAAGCATATTCGAGTTCATGTACCCCACGACATGCGTTTATAGCTGCTGTATGAAGCTGTTCGTCACCTGAGTGTCGTGGACCAAGGACCCGTTGGCACAACTGTAACTTATCTAGTAGCATTTCAAGGATATCGTGTAGGCTTTTATCCCTATAGTAAGCTCGTAGATTTTCGAAAGAATTCGTTGTCCAGTCAGTGAAGTACTTTCCGCGGTGAAATTTGTACTCAAAATGCAGTTTGACTTTTAGGTATTGTTGGCCAAAGTCGTCGATTTTGGAGAAATAGTGGAGCTGGAAATCACGGGCTTTACCACTTAGAATACGCGGAAACACTGCGTGTAACTAGTTTGGTCTAATACCCGCAGCTGATCAAATATTCAAGAATAACAAGACTTTATCATCTAGTAAATTGTACAAGTTGCCGGTATATTTGTCTTCAAAGCTGTATATTTTTGTAAAAGCTGCTTGGGTTTGCAAATCTAGAGGCTCTCGCCCGTAGCACTTTTCCTGAGTGGGTGACGAGCGATAGAAGTCGAATGGTTCCTGTAGAATTATTGATTCTCTGCTGGTAGATTCTCTACTGATAGATTCAACGGTAAAAGGCGGTTACTGAGGTACTAAGGTGCTAGGTTGCCATATACTTGATGATTATCTTATATTACCTTGCTGCTCGATCGACGGTTGCATCTAAATTTTCAGTGTTTGCTGCGGTTGTGGTGTTGGCTATTCTCTCAGTTGCGACTTTGACTGCGGCTTTTGATCGTTTTAATCACTTTGGTAGTCGTTGAATTTTGTTATGATGTGGAAACACACTAGTCTTTCTGTGGACAGTCAAGGATACGCACAATAATGTTAAGCTCAACATTGTAAGGAAAGAGCACTGAGAGATTGGCTCGACCACCGTAGCCCAGAATACATTATTCTTCCCTAGGTCGTAGTTAATAATAATAATAATTATTCATTATCCTGATTTGGCGCCTTGAGGCCCATGCAGGTTTTTATCGGAAGATATGTACTTTAAGTAGGATGACTCAATTTGACGTTTAGAACACTCACACTCAGATTTCATTTGCAGATACCACTCGAGATTAACCCTTACGGCGTATAACCTCTTCCGTGCATACCCACCACAGGGAAAAGCGTGAAAAACCTGTGGCTATCCAAGTGTGCTTTCATCATCCCACAAGTACAATATCACCGCGAGAGAGCGTGGTGTGTGGGTCTGACTGGATTCGAACCAGCTTTCTCCTGTCTCGAATGGGGTAGGTGTTCAAGCTACCCAGTATCTACTTGGGAGAACGGCCCGGATGGCGTACCACTGCACCATCCAACCCCTAGGTCGTAGTTAGTAGGATACAAAGTTCACACATACACATCTGTCATTAGGACTATTACTCACACCTACATTTATATATCCACTTACTCTTATATTATCTTTCTCCATTTATTACGTGTCACAATTATACTCCATAACGTATAACCATAATACATTTGGCAAAGACTTTGACGTCAACTCCTTTTTTTTGCATCAGATTTTAACTGCGTATGCAGCTATCTAGCTATCTAGCTATGACACAATATCAGTTGAATTTATAATAGATGACTCAATTTAAAAGAAGGATACTCATGCCTCGGATTTCGTTTGCAAGTACCACTGCGAAATTATGCCGGCTTTTTCTTCACCCCAAGTCAACCCTCATCCGTGAATACCCACCAAGGGGAACGTCTCAAAAACCCTGAGTTATCCAGACATGCCTCCATCATCTATTTGCTTTTCTCCGCGCGAAATGTTATCTGAAAATCTCCTTCCCAAGTGGCATAGGTACCTAGGCTAATCAGACTATACCAGAGTACACCATTGACAGGCTGTCGTATTAGCTTCTATCTCAAGGTTTGACACGAATCACAATTTCAGACCTAGAATCAAACAATCTATTTACAACCGTATAATATGACACATGTATCGATATCAGGGTAATGTGTTCGGGCCATATTTTATACGTAAGGCATATAAAGTAGGTGGAGGGCAAGAATGAACACCTGTACGCGGTGTCATCTACAAACTTGGGAGTGAAATACCCTCCCAGAGCCAAGTTCAGTCAAATTTCGCAATACCGAACAAGTTGGCCCACGAGGCAATGATTCAAATAACTCCACCACGTCAAATTTTCACTCCCGAAGAGGTCGAATCCTATCCAAACCTCATCAAGTCTACAAGTATGACCTAGTACATCCTCATTCTAATGACCACACCTCCTATCGACTTTCTCTGACCTCAGCTGGTCGCCAGATACACGCCCACGCCGATTCTTACATCCGATGGAGGAAACAAAGCGTGGCGCAAAAATCTGGAAGACAAGTTTTTGGGATGGACGTGAGAGGGTTCAGGACAATTTGATGAGATGATGCAGAGCATGGATACAGACTCGACGGGCGTGGAATTTTGAATTTCGGCATGGAGTTTTTACAAATTGAGCCCTGTGCGTGCCAAGCCTTCGGTTGCGAGAGTGCAGGCGACACTATAAACACCGCCATGGTTAGATGGTGCGACGGTACATCGTCTTGGCCGGTCTGCCAAGTAGAGTCTGGATAGCTTGGACACATATCCCACTTGAGACAGTAGATCGCTGGTTCGAATCCGGCAAACCACAACCACATTTCTCGCGGTGCTGATGTACATTGATGACGAAGGCATGCTTGGATAACCAAAGGGTTCGAAATTCCCTTTGGTGGGTACTAACGGAGGAGGGTCGACTGTTTGTGTAAGCAAGCATACCTCATAGTGGTATTTGCAAATAAAATCCAGAGTATGAGTGTCTCTAACGTCAAAAGAGTCATCCAACATGAATACATAGTACCGGTCATGTGTAATAGCTCTATAGCTGAATACACACTAAATGAGTAAAAATATATATATATATATATATAAAGTAGGGCTTAAGCAACGCTAGTTTACCCCGGACTCGTTCTATGATTGATGTTAGATGTATGTCTCGAAAATTATGTTAATAATTTATCAGAATAAATATTAAATTATTAGGAAAAAGATGCGAATTTTTTTGTCTAGCAAATTAAGCCTTGTTTGAGGACATCTTTGTTGGTATGACAAAGGTCATACACTAAAAGTCTATTAGTTCACTTAAAGTTATGAGAGTACTTGTGTAAGTATTTCGAACTGTCGTCCAGAAGAAATGCGCATACATAGTTCTATTCATGTTCTTCTGAGTTGATGCTAAGAAATTGCTATCTAGCCTACATTCGGATAATGCTTTATCCAAATTTCAGAATCCACAAATCAATAGAACTAGCCAATACAATGCGATAACCTCCGACTCCAAATAACTCCAACTAACTCCAGCTAGATGAATCACTCCGAAAATCTTGGAACCCAGTACTTTGGACATTTGGCTAGATGGTAATATTTCATCTTTTGTTAGGTTTAAGAGCAATCCTATTCGGTTGAGGTTGCTACTTGTATGCAACGGGCCTGAAGTGGAAGCTGATGAATGAAAAACTGAGCCTTCATCATATTTCGTAGCAATGGTTTTCAATCCCTACTCACTACCAAGGTATAAAAAAACTTAACACCTTAAGCGTTACATTAACCCAGATGCCTATCGCCATTAATTCGACCCAACTTGTGTATCTTCTCGTGTGAGAATCTAGGCATATTCTTATAGTACATAACAAACGACTTGCTAAAAGTGGTTATATCAAATTTCATTTACATCATCTTCCAGCAAACCTGTAGCCAACACCGAGCAGCAAAAAATTGCAAAGAGATCCAATTCGCCTAGCACGAACAAAGTATTAGGTAATTATGATAAAGCGCCCCCATTCATTCTTCTCGATGGACTCGTATTATCCCCGGCCAATACTAGCGCCTTTCTTTCTGTGTTCCAAGTTTCGGGCTGCCTCCAGTAATTTAAACTTGAAGCATCACCGGAATTTGTCTGATGGACTCCATTATCCTGGCGAAGTTCCACCTTACTTTTATTTCTAGTCGGATGATGACTCTCTATAAAAGGAGAGGAGCAAGAACGCAAATCACGAGATAGTATATCTTTGCTGTCAGCAACCTCATTCATATAGCCTGTTCTTGGTTGGTTAAGGGCTTGGCGTCTACGTGGATTCACTAGTGGAATTGGCGGCGGGCGGAACTGACATTTATCGTGAGCGGGAATAGATGGGGCAAAAGATGCTTTGCTAGAATAAGGTTTTAATCGCGAATTTTCTGAAATATTTTCTGATACATTACGAGTAGTATTTAGCGAATAAACATTTTCATTCGAAACTGAGTTAAACTGAGCTGAATTCATCATTTGAGAACTAGGATATATGTTTGTTGAGGGGTGACGCGTGTTGGTGAAGTCTTTACTGGAGACAGACCTGCTGGATACTAATTTATTTGTGGTACTAGAGGTAAAAGATTTTGGTTCAGGATATCCTAATTTAGATTGATCGGCTTCATGTTGAGATGATGTGTATTTCGAAACGATTGAGCCAAAATTTGGTGTGGTATTGGATCGGTCAATGTTATAGGGACGGACTTCATTAGATTTTGCCGCAGAATTCTTTTCGGCAGAAATATTTTCCTCACTATGCGCTCCAGTTATCGTCGTATATGGATTTGCGACACGGAGAGTACGATCATTATTAGATGGAAGGCTGCTCTGCTGGGGACGAAGTTGATTTTTGGTAGTTTGAGCGTTCCAGCTTGTGTCACTGCTTTCAGCCTCTGACTTCTTTGAGGCAGTAGGCATTTGGCGCTCTTGGTCGCGACGTATCTGTCGGGATGCACTAGTGAGCGATGTTATTGAAGATCTTCCGATCGTACTTGATGCCTCATCATCCTCAACACTCTCTTCGCTTATCTGGAGCCTCGATGAGACTGTGCTACTTGATGTCACATTACCTAATCCAAGCATTTTAAGAGTCTTTGATTGTCCATCTTTAGGCTTAACAGACCCTCTGCTATTCTTAGTCCGAAGAATACCGAATGCACTATTTTTTGGGTTACTTTCTCTAGGAGTTTCGACGGTCTGAGACGGACTTGCAAGGCTATTATCTGATTCTACAAAGCTTTTCATTTTCTCCTTAACATGCCTTCTACGATTTGCGAATTCATTCATCAAGTCTTTCTGTTCTCTTTCAGAATCAGTGCTTACTTGGCGGGTGTGAAAATATGACGTTTCTTTGTCGGAGGAGACGATCTTGTCGTTAGCACCAGCATTTTCTGAACTTCGCAGAAATATGTATGGCGTGGTGTGGTCATTTTGCTTCGCTAAATTTGTTTCTAAGCTATCCTTATGAATTTCATCACAGTTATCATCGGCGGTATTTTCCCAGGGATTACCAATACTGGTGTACTCATTGAATGAGCTGCTTATCGGATGTTCAAGAGATGAAAGAGGGTTATTTTCTGTAACTGCACCATAAACTGACGAGGCATTACTTTCAAAGCGCATGTGTTGTCGAACCATTCCGTTTATTTCACTTGAGGCTATGTGATTTTGGGAGGCTTGATTTGAATCTTGAAGTGGAATTAGCCGCGTGTGTGATGAATTTGGATCAATTTCGCTGTTGGCTTCGAAATCGGACTTATGGCTACGATACAAAGGATGTTGAGATATCGAAGGACGTTTTTGCTTGGCTTGATGCTGATGATGAAAGCTTAAAAGCCCAAGGTATTTCGGGTTTATATCATCTTTTGGAGGAGGGAGGGGTTTTGAGAGAGATTCATGGTCACGAGGCAGCATGGTGAAGAGAGGAGGGGTGGATGACGAACTAGTAGGCTCAAGTGGAACTGTTATAGATTTACTTTGACTTGAGCCACATGGTTGATCAGGCGCAAGATTTCCTCTTAAGGACGAGCTTAGGTTGTATTGTGAAGACCCATAACTGGAATCTGATTGCGACCTATTACGTTCAGTAATATTTTGATGGATCTCATACTCCTTCGGCGTTGGTGAATTTTCAGATCGACGATTCTTACTACTTTCGATGATCTCATGATGTTTTGAATTATTTTGAACATTATTATAAGCTTTTGCTTGTGCACCAGCTTGTAAATTTGTTGCTTTCTCGCTGTTCTGACGATTGTAATATAAACCTTCTTCCTTTTCGTTTGACGGCGGACTAAGCGGAGGTGAAGCAATACCGTAGTTTTGTGTGCTAAGCCCTCTGTGTGAAGTCATGTCAATAAAATTGTGAGACTTAGATATCTCGGTTGAATGCTCTGTGATCCATCCATTATTTTCTATGGCTGCGCTTGTAGGTGAAGGTTTAGGTGAGGGAACACTGAAAATGTGCGATCTTTGCTGAGATATGGTGTCAATTCGGGACATTGCCATAGAGTGCTGTTGATGAAGGTGGTTTTCTAGTCCGGTTTCATACAGACGCCTATTTCTAGTTTTTGATGGCTCTGAACTCCCTGCAATGTTTCTATCACTTTCTGTTCCGGTGCGTATAGTGTAATCTCTTGGCGTATTCGATGAATTCGAATGCTGATGCTCATAGATCAGTTTGTTTTTTTCATCAGTATAGCTGTAGCAGTTTGGAGAATTCGGTTTGAAATATGAGGGCTGCGGATCCTCCAACTCAATTTCTTGTCGGAGCTCTCTCTCACGCTTACGTTGTTTTTGGAATGAAGATAGACGAACATCATCATCATAGAGAACACGGTTACCAACATTGATTTTCTGCCGGCCTCCAAATAGTATGTTACCTTCACCTGGCCTGGATCGATTCATTACACCTCGAGGTAGATTCTGATCTTGAGCGGACCTCCCATTTTTGTCGTAACACCTTACATTGTCAGACTCAGTCATCGTAGGTTGTCTAGTTAAGCTGTGCAAAGAAGAGACTTCGGCAATATTTGACAATCCGTAGCCAGAACGTCCAAAATCATTCATCCTTGACTGCCGTTTTGGATATAATACACTATCGTCGCTAGCTTTCCCTTTCTTAGACTTTGGGTCATCTTGCTCCCGTAACATAGAGAAGCGGGCCGATAGGCCGCTCATAAGTAAACTGGTCCGAAATTCATCTGATGAAGGAAGTGCACTAGAAAGATCGATCTCTGCCTTCGGCTCTGTTTCCGCTGTTTTTTTTCCGCGGCGGAATGTTTTTTTGACTGGCGTGATTGATGGGATATCAGATTCGTTTGAAGGGCGAGGGAAGCCTTCGAGTGCTTCTCTGGCTTCTCTTCTCTTGCGAAAACGATTCATTTTGGTTTGGAAGCGAAAGATTGCAGTTTTTCTTGATCAAACTTAGTCATGTCATTAGGAGGCAGTTGCCCTCGAACTTACTCTAAGAAATTGAAGTGTCTCAGCTCAAGATAAATGATAGCAGAGTCTTGTGTAAGCAGCTTCTGAGGCTGCTTTGAACTTGGTTAAGAATTGAACCTCGGCCCAGGCACTTGATGGGAGCTGTGCACGTCGGTATGGAGGGGCGAGAAAAGGATTCTTTTTCATACGTCCGCATTAGCTATGAAGGGAAAGGTTGATATTATGGGGTGGGTGTAGGAGAAACTGCAACAAGGACATGACACACATTTAAAAGCGTAGAGGAAATGCCATATAGAGATCCTAGTCAAGGACGAGCGCAAAGAATGTTATTCTACAACCCTAGTACGATGATAGATGGGTCCTAGCTGATAGTAGATGTTAGAGCAATAAATAATTGAGTAGAAGAAATTCCGAACGGGCTTCTGAGTAATAGATTAGGAGGGAGAGAGAATGAAATATCAGGTACCCGTCGCTCGTCTGGATCCAGATGTGGTGCTTTCCTGGTAAGGGGGTTTGCTTTATCCGTCAACGATATGCGAGGGCAGTTTTCCTCTATTCAAAGTTGTACAACTTGGGGCTTGTTAAAGTGCCTTTTCTTGAGACAAATGAGAACGTACCTGGGGAAAGACAGCGCCCCTCGATGACAGAACATCATGGCTGTGAAGGTAAGAATACGCTGTATCAAGCAATTTTCAGTATATCACGTGACATGACTGAGGCCCCCTAATCTGAGCTTGAGACCGGGAAGACATCGTTTCTCGGCCAACCCACTGATTGTCCGCAGATCAGCCTCGTTTCCCTCCAATGAAGCGCCCCGCATGGGGCAGGGCAGAAAGCAGGATCCGAGGCCCCGTCGTCCAGAGTATAAATCGGTTTGTTAGGATTGCCTGAAGGAGAAGAATGCAAAATTCGTGCAATTCACTGACCACTTACGATCGCAATCACTGGAAGGATACCAAGCTCGAAATTGAATGTATGCAATATCGACTGGGCAGCCTTTGAATAAATTTACAGATACATGTAACACATTTGTATATCCAATGTGTAAACTGTACGTGTCATGCATGTTTAAACCCACGAGCCCCATTAGAACTCTGAACAAACCACCATGTATGCAGCATAGTGCAGATCTGACTAAGCCCAATCTTCGTCTGAGAGAATGTCGTTTGCGGTGAAGTAGTGCGTGGCTGAACCCGACGTTACTTCAGCCCTTCGACGCTCGAGCCCGATGTGTCTCCCCGTGCAGTGGATGGATAGATGAAACGATTCCTTATCGTTTGAATGCTTTGTATGCTGCAACGTCGACGCGCTGCATGGCTGGCAAACAACTCGCTGGTGCTGTTCTTAGCTTGTGAGTATTTTTTCAAGCAAGGGATGGGAGCCACAGAATGAGAGGTCCCTTTATTCATCGTATTCACATTTAATCTGCCTCTAGTTTCAGCGTTCAACGAGCGCACGAATAATCTTTGTGCTGCTTTAATTTTTCTTCTTCTAGTCTTCCGTTTTCCTGTAGTATTGGAGGAGGTGATTGGCAGAGCTCGGTCAAATTTAGAAGTACTGTGGCCTACTTAGAGCGAAGCCTTTTAAAAAGACTCCAACGTGATACAGCCATGTTCAATTTGTTCAGAAGTCTTTTCGATGGAGTAAGTTGTTCATGCAACCGATCGCGCTCCGCTGAACCACATTAGACTAACAATTCGGGGCTAATTCTAGATTGTGATAAAAGTCATCGCTCGGATTACAGGGCCTGGCTATGGGTTCGATAATATCAGGGATTAGATCATTAAATGGCAGGAGTGTTAATCGAGCGCATCGTTCCCAACAACGGAAGTGCGACAGAACCGCTCTTTCATGATTGTTTGGTAACTTGCTAACATTTTCACGCCAGCAGATTGCTCCACATAGCTTTCACATGAACAGCACAATACCCTCGAGGCAAGGTAGTTGAGATACGGGATGCAGGGGAAAGGTGTGCGAGTGGTTTAAGTTTGCAAACCCCAAAGTACAAAGACAAGCATTCCTAGCAATCAAAATCTAGCCCTTTGCGTTCAGCCAGTGTGTAAAACTGCAAGACAAACTCTTCTCAGCATAGTGTCGACACACATTTTGTCAACGCGTCGATCTAGTCCAGGAGCGGATGTGACAGCCAAGGGCTACCTTTCATGCAACTCCCTCGATTTGTAACATAGATTAAAGTTGCTTAAAAGAATCTACGTTGCTTAGTCTTAATCGACGTAAAAACCTTGGACCGATTATGAACAGAAATTGAAAGCCAGATTTAACCTTGGGATAATGAGCGCACACCGTCAGCTAGCATGTAGGATAGGAAGTGGCGAATTAATCATCTACTCTTTATTATATCACCATGAAGAAACTGGTTGCAAGCGTGTCTGTGACTAGAATAATGTGTACCACGGCACCTTTTGGAGAGGCAGTGATTTTCACCATGATGGCTAAGCGATATACGGAAAATTTTGGTACATGTAGAACAGGAGAATTTCTGTTAGCACCTAGTTTAAATGGGGCCATGCATCAATAAAATATGGACAGAGGTGTTGGAGATGTCCGGCCAAAAAACGACTGTAGCCAATCTAGCTGAGAAAGACGCTCTTGTTAAAATGCCTGACCAGCATATTTATGTTTTTCTTGTCTTTCGATAAAGTAAATTTCCGGCAGCTTGAAGCCAGTAATATTGGAAGTGTTAAGTCACATGGGAGCATACTACCGTGTCGGACCTCTAAGTTGTAAGGTTTAAGCCTCTTGCATAAATTATTCAAATCTAAATCATTACCGACTATACAATCAGCGGTCTAATAGTGATTTTACTTTTTAGACTATGGCACAGGATCAAACTAAGATGATATTTCATGCCAATATAGCAGAATTAAATATGTATAATGGATAAAACGGCATCGACGTGGAAATCTAGTTGATGCGAAAATGCCTCACGAGAAAACCCGACACATCTTTACATACTTATTATGTTTTAAGAAAATACTTAAGTACGGTCTTGGAGTCGAAAGACATATAGTTTCTTGAAACACATCGCCTGTGGGCCGAGAGGATTAGAGGCTTCTAAATTTCTTACCGCTCATATCCGCAGCATTGTTTTTAAATCTCTGTATCATACTTCTGCACACATCAAGATGGGAGGGCAAGACCGAACACCTGTACGCAGTGTCCTCTACGAACCTGGGAGTGAAATAACCTCCCAGAGCCAAGTTCAGTCAAATTTCGCAATACCGAACAAGTTTGCCCAAGAGGCAAAACTTCAAATTACTCCACCATGTCAATCTTTAACTCCCAAAGAGTCTGACTCCTACCTAAGTATCATCAAGCCTACAAGTACGACCAAGTACATCCTCATCCCGACGATCACACCACTCTTCGACCTTCTCTGGCCTCAGTTGACCGCCAAATACACGCCCACGCCGATATTTACACCCGGCAGAGGAATCAAAGCGTGGCGCACAAATCTGGGAGACAGTTCTCTGGGATGGAGGTGAGAGAGACCAGGACAAGTTTACAAGTTGATGCAAAGGGAGGAATTACCCTCGAAGAACGTGAAATTATGAATTTTGGCAAAAGTTTTACGAATTGGGCTTTGTGCGAGCCAAGACTTCGCTTGCAAGAGTGCAGCTGACACTATAAAAACAAGCAAACGATGGAAGGTGTTGTGGTCCGCCTCCTGGTGGTGTAGTCTGAGTAGCCTGCGCACCTACTTCACTTGGGAAGGAGACGCCTCAGACCACATTTCGCGCGGAGAAAAGTAAATGGATAATGGAATCATGTCTGGATAACTCAGGGTTTTTGAGACGTTCCCCTTGGTGGGTATTCACGGATGAGGGTTGACTTGGGCTGAAGAAAAAGCTACCATAACTTCGCAGTGGTACCTGCAAATGAAATCTGAGGCATGAGTGCTACTCTTGTAAATTGAATCATCTTTTCTGTACTTTTCTCTGATACTGTGTCATAGCTAGTTAGCTGCATACGCAATTAAAATTTGTTGCAAAAAAAAAACACATCAAGATGGAGAAGTTCTGATATTCACGGTGAGTTTAATGTCCGACTTCGCGCGCTACTTAGTTGAATTACATGTCTAAAGAAGGAGTGTGCAAATACGGTAATGAGCTTATGCATGAGGGTGAAGACTTATATGTATCACGGGTAGGTCTCGTTGGAACGGAGTCAGAAGCAGATCGGAGGTACGAGAGGACGAAATACGGGTAAGAATATATTAATAAGACGTTGCACAATCTATCCTAGAGTGCAACTACTTAGATACTTATTCTTCATTCCTACGCTAGCATCAATCATACAGATAAGTAAGATAATTGTGCGTCATGTGACTTATAGATCAGGTCATAAGCGAGAACCATAGGTACCATGACAATATGTTCCAGGTCCAGTCGATCAGGCCATGACCCACGGACGCTGACAAGCACCTCCACAGATCCAGGTGCGCAGTCCTAAATTGTCGCAATGTCACTCATTCGTCTTATTTATCCTCCTTAATTTCAGTGGAGCTAGTTAAAAATGGAATTGAGCTACCACTCTACACGAGTCAGGCAGTAAAAACTAGCTTAGATGGCAAGATCTCGGCCATCGCACCTCGGGCTTTTGAATATCACGGCGTTTGCCCAGTGAAATGCGAGCTGTATGTGTGGTTCCTGCTCCCGGAAAATATTTGATCAGTGCAAATTCAGCTTGGCTCATGATACTAATTGTGATGTCCTTTGCTCAGCCCAAAGCCTATACAGTGCTTCACAGTCGCTTCTACTTTGCAAATTGCTGATTCGTGTAAATCTGGACAGAGGCAAAAGGGGCCTTACCTCCCTCAGTTCGTGAAGAGCTATCCTCGTGGGGGGATAAACAAGTTCCCACTTACGATATTTGGATCATATTCGAATAAAGTACAGATGAACATTTTACTGTCGTACAGATACTCATTAGATACTTTACTCTCGTCATTCCAGACTTTGTATCATCTGAAATATTATAACACCCATAAAAGCCTCATCTATACCACGCCGAAAGATGAACCAGGCAAAAGTTCTTATCTTCGAACTAGGTTTACCGCTCGTTCCCAGTCCGTGGGATGCACCAGCACACTTAGTCGGGGTTTGTTTGGGGCCGTGAAAATATGAAACATCAGCTTTCCGGAATGAATACATACTAATAATAGTGTCATTTCATATCAAATACCACACAACACCCTTCCGCGCCATCCTAGGGAACCCAAATTTTCCGACAAACTTGCCGCTATTCCTTGCTAAATCCAAAAATACCTGGTTGTTCAGCTAAGCAGCCATTTGAACTCAGATGGCTATGATAAAAGTACAAAGATCAGATGCCGGTTCTCAAACTTACTTTCCCAAGCCTCTTTATTAGAATGATCCTCCTAGCCGTTTTCTAAGTCAGCTCCTTTTTTCTCGTACAATTTTAGACTTTTCCTTTTTTTCAAGTTTGAACTGTCCTTCATCTTGCTTTCTCCTCAACATAGTGCTATGAGTTTGGGGTTGAACTATGCCACGCTCTCCGCGCATGTCATGGTGTCTGTGAAAAGGGACAGATTCCTCATTTACTATGTCATTATCTCGGTCACTCTGTCTGCAATGATTTATATTCATTGGAGTTGTGAAAGCTTGATTAACTAAAACATTCGCGTCGTGCCCAGTCAAACAGGACCTAACTAACTCCTCTGCATCAGAAGCTGAAATAGTACTGTCACGAGAATTATGATGGTAGCCATCTGTTATCTCATGAAATGATTTTGACCGTAAATCATTACATGTTTCATTTTCAGGTGTGAATTGAACTGGTGAGAGTAATGCAAGGGGGGGCTCGGGATATACGGAACTACATGTGCTGAATGAAGAAAGTATTGGTCTGACTAGGCTGCAGCTAATCGGAGAGCTTGACGTGGAACGGCAAGCGTAAGAGAAGGTTGATCCGTTGCTCTCGTTTTCTTTGTTAAGGATTGATCCGGCTAGAAGTAAGGCATTAAAGTTTTCTTGATTCACGTGAGAAGAATGTATATAGTGATTTTGAAATTGATGAGGTGATAGGTGATTCCGGTTAGTCTTCAGATTTCGTGGCGCACTAACAAAATTTTTAGGCGTTGTGAATTGATGTAAGGGACCACCTGATCTACGCATTTCGTTGATATGCCTACGATTTTGACGGATACGATCTTGTAGAAGGGCAATTTCCTGCCGGGCATTGGTTAACTTTCGTTCTTGTATTCTTATGATTCGTTTCGCCTTTTGAAGTTCGCGCTGAATCACTGTTTTCTCTGCTAAAAGAGAATCGCACTGCCCGCGTAATCTATGGTTGTAGTCTATTTGAGCTGTATTTTGAGGGTTATGCCGTATGAATTCGACTTCTCGTTGAAACATGAAATTTTCAGCTTCTAACCGATTGAAGACTTCCCGACTTTCGATCTGGAGAAAATGGGTTTGCAACTTGTGGTGAGCAGCCGACATTCGTGATTCTTTGGCTATAATTTCGAGTTTTTGGTTTTCATAAAAAACCCGGTCTAAAGTGTCCCACAGTTCCTCCACCGTCGTTGACTGTCTAGATTTCCGCATTGGCCTGCTTTTTAAAAGTGATCTCTTTCTCTTAAGACTGTTACTGGATGATGAGGATAACACTGGCGATTCTAGGGTTATCGATTGGACTAAATCCTCGTGAGATGATGGCGGCGGGGTAATAGATGAAATAGGTACCGACAAGGATCTATTGCCCCTAGCTAATCTTGCCCGTGATTCTGCATTCCGTTGATCAATGGGAGCCTGAAACTTAGATTGTAAGGTCTGCGGAGTTGTAGGAGATTCCGTGAAAGATGAAAGCTTGGAGCATTGCAAGGCCATTAGGGTCAGCTAAGTCTATTAGTCTCATGAAACCACGAGTTTAAAGCTAACTATGAAATATAAAATCTATCCAAAGTTTAAAAGGAGTTGTCAATGCGAAGCGCAATTTAGAGATGAGGGGAAAGACGGGTTGGACCTAAACGACAGGCCTTGATTTTATGAGTAAAGTAATAGTGTTATAAATTAAGGTGGGCTGGTGTTCGAAATTACATCTAAGGTAGTTGCGGGATTCTGATCTTGAACTATTTCCACGAATACACTGATGTTGATGGTGTTGATTTTGTCTAGTGATATCTGTTGCGATTGACCTAACCGTAAACTTGTGCGTTACGTAATATTTATAGATAAGAATCATTAGAGAGATTGGCTTAATAAATTTGTATTAACACCCCATCGCATCGATTACTATTGATACCTAGGTCGTAAATTTTCCGAGGGAGGGCAAGGCTGAACACCTGTACGCGGTGTCCTCTGCGAACCTGGGAGTGAAATATTCTCCCAAAGTCAAGTTCAACCAAATTTCGCTACACTAAAGAAGTTGGCTCATGAGGCAATAATTCAAATTACCCCACCACGTCAATTTTTCATTCCCAACGAGTTCGACTCCTACGTTAGTCTCATCAAGTCTACAAGTACGAACAAGTACATCTTCATTCTAACGATCACACCCTTCGTCAATTTTATCTGGCCTCAGCTAGTCGCCAAATACACGTCCACGCCGTTACTTAAACTCGCCGGAGGAAACAAAGCGTGGCGCACAAATCTGGGAGGAAGTTCTTTGGGATGGACATGAGAGAAATCAGATCAGGTTTACAAGATGATACATAGGAAGGATACAATTTCGACAGTTTTAAGACTTGAAATTTGGGCAAGTAGATTTACATATCGAAGAGTATTTTGCGCGCCGATACTTCGAGTTCGAGAGTGCAGCTGATACTTAAAACAAGTGAAAGATGGAAACTGCCGTGGCCCGCCTCCTGGTGGTATTCTCTGGTATAATTTAAGTAGTCTGGGCACCTACTACACTTAGGAAGGAAACATCTCAGACCAAATTTCGCGCTAAGAAAAGTAAATGGACGATGGAGGCATGTCTAGATAACTCTGGATTTTTGAGAAGTTCCCCTGGGTGGGTATTCACGGATGAGAGTTGACTTGGGCTGAAGAAAAAGCCGGAATAATTTCGCAGTGATACTTGCAAATGAAATCCGACATAAGTGCTCTACTTGTATATTGAGTCACATTTTCTGTAGTTTTCCCCAATATTGTGTCATAGCTAGATAGCTGCTTTCGCAATTAAAATCTGACGTAAAAATAAAAAGTATTCCCCGGGAAATCACCAGCAGCAGTAATTTAGTGTAGCTATAATTAAATTAGTCTTTGATGTGATTTCATTTAGTCCGTTCAGGTATATCTAGCTATAATATTTACACAAAAGGAAACCAGATTCGGTAAAACCCCCCAAAACTGTCTGTCTTGTGTCTATTGGTCTTCCGGGGTTTCCTACAGGAAGTGCGTTTACACTGTTTATACAGTGTGAATTCCGTCTTATCCTTGTCCACATCGTCTCATCTTTTTGTCCAATGCTGTTTCTAATTCTCCTGAAAGCCGGAATTGTTCAAACTAGCCTTTAGCCATGATCCATTTTGTGATTCTCTCTATATTATCTGGGCTGTTCATCAATGCCACAAATGACTTATCTTTTGCCTTTCGAAGCACCTCTCTTCTTCCCATTGCCCACTGTGGATACGCCAAGTTAATATGTTTGACATTTTGAGACGGATATCCACACTGGCATTTTGGATTAATCACTCCGGGGACTTTCCTTCGATACAGATAAGAATTGAGACCAATGTGCTCACTTCTTATCTGAACTGCAATACTTTTTTGGGCCCTACTAAGGTTCCGGTGGATATTTGAGGGTGTGTTTCTACAGGTAATTCTTTTTCTGCCTGTTGTCTCATCTGTAACAATATTTGCGGCTCTCCATTGTTCAGGGTCTGCCAAGGCTCGATGTCAGATAGTTTCTCGTTCCCTGGACGTGTCCATGACATCTTCCACTCCTGGAACGCGGCCACCTTACTGGCATTTTTTTTACCTCCCTTTCGCATTCTCCATGCCACGAATTCTGGTCCATTCTTCATTGTCTTGCTTTCGACTTCGATTCGGATGCGAATCTTCTTGGCTATCCCAGATATGCAGAGCATACTGGGCGATCACAGCGGTACCACTAGAAGCTGAAGAATTCGTCTTTGCCGTCTTCCCTCTCATTCAAAATTTAGATAGGTTTGTAGTCGCCTGCTTGAGCCCACAGGGCGCCGAACCAGGTTTAGTGAACTCAAATCAAACTAAGATAGCGATTTCGGTGCCGGCAAAGACGAATTCTTCAGCTTCTAGTGGTACCGCTGTGATCGCGCAGTATGCTCTGCATATCTGGGATAGCCAAGAAGATTCGCATCCGAATCGAAGTCGAAAGCAAACACATGCATTTCTAAAATAGACGATTTCTCTTCATTGTCGGACCTATTATTCTCCTCTGAATTTCCAAACCCTTTCTAACCATACACCATCTCACCTCAACGACCAATGAAGGAGTTATTCTAATGGCTCTCATGGGACAAATAACTTGAGGGAGAATAGGCGCCTGAGTTACAGAGCGAGAGGGGGGACAGGTCTCTGAAGACCATACTGAGACTGACAGTTTCTAGGGGTTCTCAGCTTTGGAGCGTTTGTTGGCGCCAAGACCGAGATTTCAGCTGATTAGCCAGGAGGACTTCTTTTGTCGATGAGTCAACGGAACTCTCCAGCGCCCTGGACGGCACAAAAGAAGTTAGACTAAGCTATTATACAGCAATCATTCTCTGTCAAGACTTTATTGTCATTTCAGCACGTCCTTCGGGAAAATGTTGAAATGAGGCTAGAAAGGCAGAGGGTGAATTTCCCGAGATACCCACAAGTCTGGAGCGCCCAGCTGGCCAGTCTCTATGTATTATGAGAGCCACGCACCTATTGGTTTTTGTAAATTTTCCCGGCTGCCATACACCCGTAAATGGCCATCGTTTCGTTGGCTGGAGAGGGGAGATAGTAAAGGGCAAAGCGCTCCTCTTAGTGTATGATCGAATGAGGACTAGTGAGGGGTGGTACTGTTTGAGGGGAGCTGTATGGGAGGCATAGGAGGGGATATACTACTAGCATAGGTATCCTTGACCTATAGGCAGAAAGGACCTGCATGTTCTACATAGTCACAGGCTCAGATAGGACAATAATATGAATTAATTAGAATAATAATGATAAGACAGGAGCACCGCAAAAGGTGAAGCCAGGGTGGGATGGCATCCTAATGAGCTAGATAGCCTGATACTCATGATGTAGAATAAAACCCCATTCAATTATTCAGTTTCTCTAACCTGTACACAAAAAAGATATGAATTTCTTGTTGCTCCCTGCAAAGAACGCCGCAAGATGTTTGAGTATTAATAACATAAGCTGTACACTAATGGCTGGGCTCTAATCTTCAGGGGTAACCTTAGTGGTAAACGCGTTCACATTTTCCATGTATTCTTAAAAACCGAGTAAAAAAAGAAGATTCAAGATACATAAATTGAGTAGATCTGTTTCGTTTGACATGGGTGATTGCCCTGGAAACATGTGATGAGCTAAATGCCAATAGAATGAAATAATGCCACTTTCCCATCGTGTATTCCTCTTTCTAGGAACTACTTCTACGCCAACTGAAAGGGTTATCGAGTTGGACAGGTTTGTTGTACTTTTATACCGCCACTCATGTGAAAAAGTGCAACTCAACAGCTCGAATAGACAAAATTTGACCTGCAATCGATAAATTTCATAAAATGATAAATAGGCCACCCCTTGAATAAAAAGTCTGTTTACTTTACCCCACCCTATAAAATACCCGAAGAAAAAGAAAGACTAATACAAGATTCTTTTCATCCCTACTATCATGGATGCTGCGAATCACATCTGAACAACTTAGGATGACAAGAAGAACGGTCGAAATTCGGTTCCTAATCGTATTCATATTTCGCGCTCCTATTCCAATCATCTAAAATGGAGCAGCCGCCAATCGATAGCCACAGACCATCGGGAATCCCTCGACTTTCCCGTCTTCCTATACCTACATCTACTTTGCGACAAATTCGATCTAAGGAGACTTTGCAGTCTTCAAACAAGTGTAATCTATCCAAGCCTGAGTATCGTCAACCATCCTCTCCAGAACATACGCAGGTATCTTCGAAAGCAACTATATCAACGGCCCATGAAAATCTGGATGTAACTAGAGCTTTACGTACTCGAATACCATCCACTAGCGGTGTCTCATCTCATATACCCCGAAGCCAGTCAGGAAGGCCCAATTCACATAAAATATTGGTAGATTCACCTAAGAATACTCTATCTGGAGGTACCAGCCATAGAGAAAATAAGAATACCTTCACCACAGAAGAATCCAACGATGAAACTGGTGCCTACAATCTCTCAAGATCAAGTCGACCGTCTCTATCAGAGAGGACGGTTGAAACTTTACAAAGTATACCGCCGTCACCGTCTTTACGAAGGAGAGATTCGAACTTCTTCAATAGTGATGCTGACTCTCGTTCTGACTCGCGACCAAATTCGAGCTCAGGTCTCAGGAACAGCGGAGCAATAGGGTCTGGTCCCGAGAGCTCACGAGGCTCAATCTCGCAAACTTTAAAAATTCCACAGCCGCGAAAAGTATCTATCCCAAGCAAAATATCTACCAATACAAAAACTTTACGATTACCGAGTACTCCCCGAAATCTAGCACCCAACTCCCCCACATTCGAAATGGCTTCAGAAATAACGAAACGAAGTCCAAATAGCATTGGCAATCGCTATAACGCTGGAAGTACACCGCTGTCCACAAGATCCATGAAGCAGAGGTCGTCTGTAATCGGACTTTTTCAGAGCCCATCTGTCGCTGTAATCAAACCGTTATCTCAGGGTACCAAGACTCAAAAACTTTCAGATTCATCCAGAAAACTATCGGCCCCAAAAGATGATGCTTCAAACTTAGAAAGTTCTAAATTACATGGAATAAAACTTACACCTTCAACAAGCGGAAATACCGAAATAACGCATCGAAAATCCTCAGCAGCTCTTCGTGAGCAGATTTCCAAAGCTAAGGCGGCAGCTAAACGTGTAAATACTTCTGACTCGCAACATGACAGAAAAGATCTCAAAGATATTCCAGTCATTCCGAGTGTCTCATTTGATTTCGGACTCTCTAGCGATCCATTCAACCAAAAAGTTGTTTTGAGCAGCAACAAGGAACTTTTAATTAAGCGTGTGCAATCTGCTCAAACAAGTGGTCGACTCAACATTTCTGCTATGGAACTTAAAGAAATCCCTGAAGAGGTTTTAAATATGTACAATTTACAATCGATGGGAGAAACCTCATGGGCCGAAGCAGTCGATCTAACTAAGTTTGTTGCGGCCGACAATCAAATTGAGAAGCTTTCGGATGATGTATTTCCTGACTTCGACTTTCAACGAGAACACGAAGAAGACGAAACTCATGGTAATCAATTTTCCGGCTTAGAAGTAATGGATATGCGTGGAAACAGGCTATCAACTCTCCCCATAGGACTCAGAAGACTTCAACTACTGACTACCTTAAACCTTGTGAGCCCCTAAAACTTATCTAAAAGAATTTTCTAATAAGCATAGGCCAATAATCAACTGAATAACTCTTGTTTGGACGTGATTTCTCAAATCAGTTCTCTTCGAGACCTCAGTCTTAATAATAATATGCTCACTGACCAGCTCGATACAGCTCTAACAAAGCTTAAGAACTTGGAAGTCCTTCACTTATCTCAAAACAAACTATCTACACTACCAGAAAGCCTTGTAGAACTTGGAAGATTGCGAACCCTTCATCTTGCTGAAAATTCTTTCAAATCCCTCCCGTTCAACGCTCTTTGCAAGTTACCCCTGACTGAGTTGAACGCCTCTAAAAACAAATTAGGTGGTACCCTGATACCGGAAGATATTGATGAGTTGCATTGCCTAAAAGTGCTTGATGTCAGTAAAAATATGTTGACTAGTTTACATGTCTCTGCAAATATTAAGTTTCCAGCTCTCCAGCAGCTAAATTGCTCTTTCAATAATCTAATTGATCTCCCTGATATGACAGGATGGGACTCCCTTCTCACAATAACGGCAGAAGAAAACCACATAGAAGTCTTACCCCAAGACTTTGTTGCGCTACCAAAATTAAAAAGTGTTAACTTCAACGGGAATAACTTAAAAGTTTTAGACGACAGAATAGGAAGAATGGAAAGCCTAGAAGTCTTGTGGATTAACGGAAATCCGCTTCGAAATCGAAAGCTTATAGGAATTCCTACCGAGGACTTGAAGCAATTACTCTTGGCGAGATTGGAACCTGAAATCGAAGGCGAGAGAGAAAAAGACGCTGACTCAGAGCAAGTGTTCTTTTTGGCTCACGAATCGCCATGTCCATCACCTCCTTCAGCCTCGTCAGAATGGTCCGTGCAAGCAGGAGGAATCCTCGATATTTCAAATTCAAGTTCTAGCTCATTAAACCCTATAGCTGCAGCAGATGTAGCTTTTAATCATCGAATCAAGATTCTTCAAATCCATCACAATAGTTTTCAAACTATTCCTCTATCGATCTCATATTTTGCAATAACTCTTACAAAGCTGAACCTTTCAAATAATGAGCTTACTGATGACACATATTTTTGTGATAAACTTGAGTTGCCGGCCCTCCAGGACCTGAACCTCTGTTCAAATACTATAAGTTCATTGGAACCTCTCTGCCACAATTTGCAAGCAAAAAATCTAGAGCGGCTTGATGTCAGCTTTAATCGTGTCACTTTTCTTCCAATTTTGCCTAGCTATTTTCCTGCGCTGAAAATCCTAATAGCTTCGCACAATAAAATAAAAGTCCTCTCACCTGAATCTATAACGGGCTTGAATGTTGTAGACTGCAGTAGTAACGAAATAAACTGTCTTAACGCCAAAATAGGTCTGCTTGGCGTATCACACGGTCTTCGGAGCTTGGATGTTAGTGGAAATTGTTTTAAAGTGCCCAAATACACTATCTTGGAAAAAGGAACCGAGGCAACTCTTGCTTGGTTACGCGAAAAAATTCCTGCAAACGAATTGAGCAATAATGATACTAATTACGGAAGCCTTGACTGATTTATTTTCAACGGAATGATACGGAAAACTATCCCATAAATTTCTAGCCGGACCACCTGAAGAAGAACAGAACCGAAACGGATTGGTATGGAGTTTAAATTCTTTTACAAAAATTTGCATAATTTCCTAGTAGGATGATAATACTAATGGCCCTAAAATGGTCGAAATAACTGTAATGATAATATTTCTTTTCTACTGTAAACCTAGAGAATTACTGGGAACATGGACTCCTATTTTGATTTGCTACCACTTGGCAGTGAGCAAAACCTTCCAAAAAAAGTATAAATTAAATCATGCTCGTTGATTCTGGTCTAAATCAGCTATTTTTATCTTGATAAGAGTTGTAGTCCTGTTTTAGAATTTAAATGTCACGGTCATTAAACACTGTGCTGAGTTTTAGCCAAAGTGGTCTTGCTATATCTAAACTAGCCATATGAAGACAGATCGAAGGCTAGTATTAAAGCTGCCTATATCTTTCACCCAACAAAAGTTGCCTTAAGGCTTAATGCCACAAGCCATTATCCTTGATGAGCTGCTAGTCCATCAAGCTGAAATACAGCACTATTTTGGCTGAGCTCTCCTGGAGAATGAACTTCATGGTAGACCAATGTAATTATTTCAACATAAAAAAGCTTGGGCGCTTGCACATCGAAGGGTAATTTATTTATCAGCTGAAGATCTACGCTAATTCCGTACACAACGCCTTATTCATACAAATAATTGTCCTTGCGGACACCATTAAGTGCTCTCTAGACGAGACCCCAATATCTACGTGTTAGCTAGTTCCAAATAATGCTGCGCATACGGTCAGTCTCTGCCTATGAATATCAGGGAAATTTCACACTAACGTACGAGTATACCGGGGCTATTACGCACAAGCTGCAAGTATTCTACCGGATTAAAAGCCGTCACAACCATACAATATTATTAAAGAAATTGTTTGAAAATCGGTATGAGTTCAATGAGTAAGGCGGCTCAAAGAACAAGGGCGCTATTTATGAAAATGTTATAATTTAGAATAATTGGGGCTATCAAGTAGGCCACGTTGTTGGTACACATGTTACTACAAATTCTGTACTTAGTTTCACTTCTGTAGTTACTTGAATCAATGCGCTCTACAACCTCAATGACTGAGGGGTCATTATTTCCTTAGTAGAATAGAATAATAATTATATGAATCGGGAGAATATGTAATATACCGTGGAGAAACAAAAATTGGATTGAATTAATTGATTATTTGTCTTATGGATCCTTAGAAAGCTTACATACATATATCTCAGTAATACAAAACTAAACCGAGTATCGACCCCGAGCATAATTTCATACTCTGGCAATTCCAATGAGGATGGGTTAGTGAATCAATCTCTACCCACCGGGTATCATATCACTCCATGCTTTAAACGAATCTCTCACATCAAACGTCCTCAATGAAGTAATTATCATTGATTTCAGTCGAGAGTAAGATGTGATAATCTTTGTTGTTCCAATCCTACGGAAACTTCAAACATACAGGGTGTGAATTTCCAACAGAAATTAAGTTTAATTAATCATCTCAACTTCGTACGTTTCCATGCCTATTTGAATTTTCTTGAATACTTTAGACTTAAAGTGTTTTGACATCAGCTTACACCTCGTGTGCTCTTACTAAATATTCAGGTGCTCACAGGGACGAGAGAGGATAATAAATATATAATTCAATTGACCTGATTTGGCACCTTGAGACCCATGCAGGCTTTTATGGGGAGATATGTACTTTAAGAAGGCTGATTTAATTTGACGTTTAGAACACTCACACTAAGATTTCATTTGCAGATGCCACTCGAGGTTGACCCTTACGGCGTACAACCTCTTCCGTGCATACCCACCATAGAGAAAAGCGTATAAACCTGTAGTTAATTGAGTGTGTTGTCATTGTCCCACAAGAATACTATACCACCGAGATTGAATGTGGTGAAAGGGCTTTACTTAATTCGAACTAGCTTTCTCCTGTCTCAAGTTTTTTTTTTTTTTTGCATCAGATTTTAATTGCGTATGCAGCTATCTAGCTATGACACAATATCAAAGAAAAGTACAGAAAAAATGACTCAGTTTACAATAGTAGCACTCATGCCTCGGATTTCATTTGCAAGTACCACTGCGAAATTATGCCGGCTTTTTCTTCAGCCCAAGTCAACCCTCATCCGTGAATACCCACCAAGGGGAACGTCTCAAAAACCCTGAGTTATCCAGACATGATTCCATTATCCATTTACTTTTCTACGCGCGATATGTAATCTGAGATGTCTCCTTCCCAAGTTGAGTAGGTGCCCAGGCTACTCAAACTATACCAGAGAACATCACCAGGAGGCGGACCACAACCCCTTCCATCGTTTGCTTGTGTTTATAGTGTCAGCTGCACTCTCGCAAGCGAAGTCTTGGCGCGCACAAAGCTCGATTCGTAAAACTCTTGCCAAAATTCAAAATTTCATGCCCGTCGAGAATGTATCCCTCTTTTGCATCATCTTGTAAACTTGTCCTGATCCCTCTCACGTCCATCCCAAAGAACTATCTCCCAGATTTGTGCTCCACGCTTTGCCTCCTCCGTCGGGTATAAATATCGGCGTGGGCGTGTATTTGGTGACCAGCTGAGGCCAGAGAAAGTCGACGAGAGGTGTGGTCATTGAAACGAGGATGTACTATGTCGTACTTATAGACTTGATGAAGCTTAGTCGAGAATCGGACTCTTTGGGAATGAAAGATTGACGTGGTGGAGTAATTTGAATTTTTGCCTCGTGGGCCAACTTCTTTGATGTTGCGAAATTTGACTGAACTTGGCTCTGGGGGAATATTTCACTCCCAGGTTCGTAGAGGACACCGCGTACAGGTGTTCAGTCTTGCCCTCCTACCCCCTGTCTCAAGTGGGGCAGGTGCTTAAGCCACCCCGAATCTACCAGGGAGAAAGGCCCGAAAGGTGGGCCGCTGCATCATCCAGCCCTACCGAGAGAGGAAACTTCATAAAGACATTCAACAAATTTTAACCTTAGCCTTATTATTCTTAAACCTTTTTTGCCAGGAAGCTGCGCAGCGTTCCACACTGTCCGCATCATCAATTTCACATCGTAAAACTCTCTTTTTATCTTCATTACTGTCACGGTTCGAGTGTCGATGCTGGAGCAATCAGATATACGAAGGTAGTTTATAATTTTCTCAACGGCTAACTATCAGAAAGAGGAATTAGGACAACTTTACAAGATGATGCAAAGGAAGGATATTACCTCGAAGGGCGTGAAATTCCGAATTTGGCGAGAGGCTTACGAATTGAACTTTGTGCGCGCCAAAACTTTGCTTGCGAGAGTGCAGTTTACACTATAAAAAAAAGACAACGATGGAAGGTGTTGTGGTCCGCCTCCTGGTGGTATTCTCTGGTATGGTTTGAGTAGCCTGGGCACCTACTCCACCTGGGAAGGAGACGCCTCAGACCACATTTCGCGCGGAGAAAAGTAAATAGATGATGGAGGCATGTCTGGATAATTAGGGAGTTTGAGACGTTCCCCTCGTGGGTATTCATGGATGAGAGTTGACTTGGGCTGAAGAAAAAGCCGGAATAATTTCGCAGTGGTACTTGCAAATGAAATCCGAGGCATGAGTGCTACTATTGTAAATTGAGTCATTTTTTCTGTACTTTTCTTTGATATTGTGTCATAGCTAGATAGCTGCATACGCAATTAAAATCTGATGCAAAAAAAAAACAATTCAGTACCCTCTATCAACCTCAATGACTGACGAATCATAACGATTTCAGCAGCCTAGACATATACTTCCGATTCGCAACCATAATTCCATTTCCAATCGCCTCCACAGCGATCTAACACCCTTACCTCACTTCAACACCTTATCAATCTTTATCTTATCACCACCCCCGAGAAATTCAAACCCGTGGACCCATCGTATTGCTGGTGACTATGCCATTGGTACGAGTTACGAAACGCCAGCACTGGCTGGTGGATTACGCCAAGCTCCGACTTTGTTTGTTTGTTTTTTTTATATAAATTTTAGGTCCTAAGCTCTGCTCTATATCTCCTAGGAGTCAAGGACCGGTGTACATGGCCAAGATCATGCTTCCCACATGCCCGACTCGGTCTCACTGCGTGACCCACTACACAACCAGTAGCTAGTTATAAGAAAGAATATAAATGCTCCCACAGACTCCCATAACCAAAATTCCAAATCCTATACTCCAATTTGAGGTGGGAAAGCGACACTCCTCGTCTCGTTTTCCTTCCTGTTATGCTTCGTGCTATGACCTAGTTAATGTTGTCTCCGCTGAGAGCTGGCGACGGACTTGCAAGTGAGTCGCCGAAGCAGCTGGTTTCCTGCGCAAAATTTGTAAAATCCTCAAGGCACTTAGGCCCGAGAAGCTTTTGGACAAAGTCGTGATGTGACATTGTCCCTCGGAGTCGACGCGTCTGACGTTCGTGCAGTCGACAGTGAATGAAGTGGAGAGGCGTTGTTTCCTCTCCACACGCACACTCCATGGAAGCGGCGAAGTTGTTGAAACGACGATGGCATGCGGCGAAGTTTCCGTGTCCCGTGCGGGCTGAGATCAGTTTACGAAGTAGCCGCCGGGAAAGTGCCAGCTCGCGTGGCTTGCGTCGTCGCATGAGAAGACCCAGGTTACGATATCTAGGTGGACACGCTTCTTCCCACCAGTCGTCAAGAAGCATTTGCCTGTTCCGGTTCATGAGCCGACGAACGTACGCCAACGTGACGGAGCCAGGCTGGCTCTCTTTACTTGGCAGTTGTCGGAGGCCGGAGCGTGCAGCTCTATCGGCCTCTTCGTTTCCCTGTATCCCGGAGTGGGCTGGTATCCACTGGACCGAGACTCGAGCCTTTTCTGATAACGCTCTAAATTGGCGCACGTCGTCGAAACTTGTTGTGGCAGTTCCCGTCAGCAGTGCCTTCACTGTAGACTGACTATCCGTCAACACGTTGATCCGCCGCCTGCCGTCGCTTCCACTATT